GCTGTTGTGTAGATCAGCACTACAGTGGTACCTCTAGATATGAACAGGATCCGTTCCAGAACCCCGTTCGCATCTAGAGGTAAACGTATCTAGTGATGGCACGTCAGCGCACGCGCGTGCCGCTTTTCATCGCTTCTGTGCATGACGTCATTTTGAGCGTCTGCGCATGCGCAAGCAGCAAAACCCGGAAGTAATGTGCTCCATTACTTCCGGGTTTCCGCGGAGCACAACTCGAATGTGCTCACCTTGAAGCAAATTTAACCCGAAGTATGACTGTAATTCAAACTTACATATTCAGTCTTGTGACAGAAAACCAGCTCATAGGTGACGGCATCCAGTCCATCTTAGTTTGGCTTTTATTATTTCTATTTGCCAAACTGCTGTTCATGCGGGTTCTCATTGACTTGCTGTTCTAGTACAGCAGGGCTCCAGGTAGGTTGTACCAGTGTAGGACTGCAATTAGTGATATTATGTCCATTTCAGTCTCCCATTTTTTCAGTTATCCACATTTCAACATCAGTTTGTGATTTATTTATTTTTAGAGATGTTCTCAGGAAAGTTCATCAACATTTTAGTGTGAATACACGTGTCTGCAGTTTTGCTTAATATACACATATTTACAAAGCAATTCCCCTTAATATAATGCATGTTGTTAATATATGCATTTTTGCAAATTCTACATCAGTATCTGCATTCTTGTACATGTTCCTTGCCTTGAAAACTACGGTACATTGCAAAATCTGGAAAAGTGTGAGTTGAGAAGGGTGCCTGTGTTTTGGTTCTTATATTGTTTTAGAGAGTGTGAGTTACGTATGCCCACATTTATATGCAAACTGAATCAAATTTCTTCCTCATCCATTCTTTGGATTAATGAAAAAATGTTGCATTACAAAGTTTGTACACAATATAAAACCATGCTGTTTAATGCCATTATATGCTCTCTACCATCTTGATTTACTTAGGCCTTTTTAAAAAAGAACTTGAAAGAGCCTGTCTTTTAGAGATTGCTTCTTTTCTTTACAGCCTTAACCTGTAAATTATTTTTAAACATTTTATGCACATAAAAGTACTTTAAAAACAAATGTATAAGAGCATAAATATGGACAGAAACAATAACAATAACTGGAGCCTACAAATAAAATAAGCAGGAAACAGAATGTACAGCCCAGACAATGAAATCAGTGCCAAGCATGTGCCTAAACAAGTTATGGACCAATGTTGAATAAAACATGGCCTGGTGAACACTTCTGATAGTCAAGGTAAACTATAACATTACTGAAGAGGACTAATCTGCTCTCAGACTTGAAGCGAGTAAAAATGAAGTGCATTTCTAAGTGCATCGTGCTCTGTTAAGAACTAAAGTTTGTACACCCTGAAAGCTAACAAGAAAACCAGGAGTTACTGATTTATTAGAGTTGAGATTGGTGGGAGAAGATGCTGGTTACACACTTGATTTTCGGATGCTTGCTTTCCCCCCTCCAATGCAATATTTATGTTTATGATTTATTTATTCAAATGCATAGACTACCCAAATTCAAAGGCTCAAACTGAACAATCATGATAATGTCTGTAAATTATAGCAAGTTGCTTTCCGGTATGTTCCTCATTTTAAAATGGAGTGCAAAATATTTCAAAAAGTTGTCATTAGCTTATTCAAACAAACATCTAAGTTGATAATCCAATGTTAGTCATAGACCCACTGAAATCAATAGGCTTATGTAACATCACACTGGGAAAAGCGGAAAAAGGGACAAGGAGAACAGATTCAGTGTTGTAACAGAAACAAATCAAACAATTTATTGATAGTGTTCAGTGAATAACAGAGTATTAATTCTGTAGTCCTAAATGAATATACAATATACAATAACATAAGCAAAATATCCATCCATAACAATATAGTGGAAGAGGAGGAAAAAATTGAAGATCGAGTATAGTGAGTGGAGCCATCTTTATAATGATCAGAGATGGGATCAGAACTGGCTCATCTGTGGCAGCCATTTCACCAGAAACTATGATGGGAGGAAGGGGGAGAGACTGTACAATTAAGAGAGTATTAGTTCCTTCCTTCCTTGCCCTTTGCCAGGTTCCAGAGGGTTTCCCCATCATTGCGGGGTCAAAATTCCATGGTAGGGAATGCATTTGAAATTCCCCATAGGGATCAATAGAAATTGTTGACTCGTTTTGCGAACGCTTGCACATTAGTGTTTGGATAGCAGGACTTGCATGTATGTTATGCCTGACAATGTCTTCATGACTTTTACATCATGTGCAATATTTTTCTCATCCTTATCAACAGCACAGCTGCTCAATTTTCACCACTGAACTTTTCTGTAGCTGTCATCCATTTTAGGCCTTCATGCTCACTCTGCTGTTTGCTGAATTCAGTGGTTCCTTGAGCCTAGCAGGGCCAGATTAACAGCATGTAGTGTTGCTGTTGTTGTTTTCAGTCTAATGGGCATGGCTAGGCATTCACTGGCACCTTGGGGCATGAAAAAGCATGGGCTGAACTTTTAAAGCTATTTTCAGGAGAATGCTCATTTTCCAAGTGATGGCTTTTCTTCCCCAATTGTATTTTTGAATACAACAGCATAATACTGTACATGCGACCCCAAAAGATAAGACAACCTTTGACTGTTCTGCTTGTTAGCGATGTCCTAGTGCACCCAAACATTTTTCCAGAGACATGCAGCTGTTGCCCAGCTAAACAGGTTTAGAGGGAATGGAAAGCTTAGAGCAATTTGTAGGCAACCAAGCAAAAAGAGAAATCCACAAAGAAGCAGCTGATGTTAGCAACTCTTAAAAGGACAGCAAAAGAAGAATAAGCAAGCAAAGAGAAGGAGGGGGTGCAGAGAGAAAACAAGGAACTGCAGAGAATGTTAATAGCTGTCTCTAAACCAAAAAGAAATTGCTTATGTAATTTACATATTGCGTACTTCATTTTGATTAGGTTAACTTCTAAGCATATATATCACCTAAAGTCAGTAAGGTTTTTTATTTTATTTTGATCATATTTTCTAGCACAAATATTTCCCACTGGGAATGTTCCCTGTCCCATGTAAATGAGATGCAAAATACCAACTTATCACAGTACAGTACAGCGTAATATTCTATTCTATTCCTTTTTTGCACAGAGGTAAATAAGTACAGATGATGGATGTCTGAAGAGAACTAGCAGCAGGGGTCAAAGGAAAAAGTGTCAGCTTCTGCTATGATGGTACCTAGGATATGTGCTTTTTCATTTTCTAGAATTAATGTTATAGATGTGTTTGGCAAAATCGCTATTGAGATATTTTTAAGGGGGAAATGGTTCACATGCGTCAGGATATTCCCTTGAAATTGGACATTTAGACGATTTCCACCTGGACACTGCTTCCAACTGCAGTATTCCGGGTATGTCAGGGAGATCCCAGACGTATGGCAACCCTAATATATAGTACAGCTTGCTCTATTTTTGGTCCATGTCGCTTTGGCACATATTTACTCGAAAGTTCATTCTATTCTATTTCTGCAGTAATCTTTTAAAATCTGCCGGAGATTTTGAATTATTATTTTTAAGGAACATTTTATTTCAAAATGTACACGTCTAAACACATTTTCTCTCAAAATACACTTTTTAAAGCTTACAACTGTGTTAGAACATCAACAAAGTGTGAAACATGAGGTCCAGTCTGCACATTAGTCCAGGATGTGAGGATTAAGTTCATTTCACATTGGACTTCATAGAGAGTGAATTGCTCAAACAACTCATGTATGCAAAGCATTTCACAAACATCTTCGTAATCTATAGCAATCCCTTGCAGGGTGGTCAATATCAGGGTTATTTTCAGTTGGAACTTACCAGAACTCAGTTCCACACCTCACAGGTGGGTGCCATTCTAAGAGAATAAGGGAGGTGTTCATGGTGAATTCTGGCACCCCTTTTTCTAGAAAAATAGCACTGGTCAATATTATTCTTTCCCATATTGCAGTTGAGGGAGCAGGACTGAGACAAGAAGATGGCAAATTCCTGAAGGCCAGTTAGTGCAGTCTTGGCATAAATGAAGTCTCAAATAGGGAAGCTTGAAAAAATAAAAGAATAGCTTTGAAATAATTCTTTGAAGAAGGAGGAGGAGGAGGAGGAGGAGGAGGAGGAAAATGATCTGGTTTTCAGTAGTACAAATTCCCTGGACTGCTGCTTGTTCTTTTGTGCAAACTGGAGAAAGAATTACCATATTTTTCCATCTATAAGATGCTCCCATGTATAAGACACCCCCTAATCTTTGACATTATTTTTTAAGGAAAAAACCTAGTCTTATAAATGGAAAAATAAGGTAATTATTTTGAAATTTTATTTTATTTTTTAAATTCATCTGAAGATCACAGGGCAGTTTACAACATAAAACACAAAGCCTGGCTTTCCTTTGGCACATGGATCAGGATCTTGAGAGGAAACTAGAGATCTATGGGGTGAATGGAATTTCCTGGTTTTATGAATGCTGCCCTGATCCTTTGTTGCCAAAGGAGGGAATGGCCAAAACAACATATCTCAGGACTGCCCAACCAGGCTTTGTGCTGGAGTAAGGCCAGGACCCTGGACAGGACCAAGGGTGCCAGATTGCAGTCCAAGAGCAGCAGTTGCAGGTGGCAATCTTGCAGCTGACAGCAATAGGGAACAAGTTGTCTGAGCTTTATACTCTGGTTTTGAAAATCCAGACTGAAGTCCTGCCACCAGAGTGCTTCTGCCCTCTAAGGTCAGTGCCTTTGGGTTTGGGGCTACAGAGATTTAGTCTACAGGACAATCTACAAGGTGTTCTTGGCCCTCAGGGGAGTCTGTAATCAATTTCTTAAAGTCCATAGGCAAAGGTAGATCCTTGGAGTTCAGAGGCTAGATGTGGAAACTCATTCTAGTGCATCTAACTAGGATGGACCAGAGAGTGTCCTCATCTCAGCTACTACTGCTCAGGGACTCTGTGTCTGGGCCTGTGTCACTTACCTACGTAAACTGCGAGCCTTTGAGGTGTGCCACATAGCTGGGATAGCTCGGTAGAGCATGAAACTCTTCATCTCAGGGCTGTGGGTTCGAGTCCCACATTTGGCAAAAGACTCCTGCATTGCAGGGAGTTGGACTAGATGAAAACATGAAACATTAGAAGAGTCTGCTAGATCAGGCCAGTGCTCTATCTAGTGCACCATCCTGATCTCACAGCAGCCAACCAGATGCCTATGAAAGTGCAGGACAAGGACCCGAGGGCAAGAACACTCTCTTGTGATTTCGAGTAAGTGGCATTCAGAGGCATACCACATATGGCTGTGGAGGTAGAGCATAGCCATCATGACTAACACCCATTGATAGCCTCATCTTCCATGACATATAGTCCATCCAAATTCATCTAGAGTTGGGAAGGCCTGGAAAAACCCCAGAAAAAAATGGAAAAAACCAGTCCCCCTCATTTCCCCTCCCCCAAATTTTTCTGTCCCCCCCCCCCCCAGGCCTTCCCATCTCTATCATGGCCATCTATACTTTTTGTGAGCAAATTCCTTAGCTTGACACCCAAATCTTCCAACATTCAGCTCTATTGGATGTGTTATGAGAGAGGGATAAAACCTTTTCCCTGTCCACTTTCACCACACCATGCAGGATTTTATACACCTCTACCATGTTTCTTCTTATTTGCTTTTACTCTAAACTGAACACCCCAAAGGCTGCAACCTCTCCTCGTGGGGAGTCACTCCATCCCCTTGATCATGTTGGTTGCCCTTTTCTGAGCCATTTGCAACTCTACCATATCCCTTGCAAGGTAACACAACTAAAAGAGGATTCCAAGTGTATTTGCACCATAGATTTGTATAACGGCATAATTTTATTAGAAGACTTATTTTCAATTCCTTTCCCTAATGATGCCTAGCATAGTATTCACCTTTTCCCCAGCTGGCACACACATTAAGTAGAATGTGTGTAAACTGCTAAGACGTGTAGCTGGAATAAGTGCATTCATGCTGATCAAAAGTATAAACTTGAAAAACGACAGACTGGCTGACACACATGTATTTATGAACCAACGAGTGAAGAACCAAGGAATGGTTTGCCTTTGTGAATGGGTCTTCACAGGTAAAATGCAACAGGCAGAAGGTTTAGCTCTCAAGATGGCACCTCAAGCACAAGGCTTTTCATTTTGCACATTCAACTGCTAGTCACCAGCTGCAGAGTATGGAAGTTCAGGGACACCAAGGGGTGAGCTATACGCCCAGGTGAAGACTTTTGCTTCTGCAGAATTGAAGTTTATCATGAGGGGAATGGTCGGGATATCAAACGGTTAAATGCCTGCTGCCTCCAACTATTCTTAGAGATCGTTTCTCTAAATTTTCTCAATGTGTGAAGACAGAGCATCAACCCAACCAATCTGATCCTGTACATTAGAGGAACCACTTAGAGCAGGAGCCAGGGGAGTGGAGCAGACCGTTTTGCAGTGCATATGAAAAGAAGCCAGCGTTGCATTATTTCTCCCTGCTGAATGAGCCGTCAGAGATTTTATGTGAACTACCAAAGGAAGACTTAAATTGAAGTTCCAAAAATCTGCCGAAAAATGTTGTTGCCTTGAGAGTGCTTTCCGGAATATTCCTCATTTTAAAATGGGTTGGAAACCTATCTCATTTTAAATGTTTGCAGTTACAAAACCTCTAGGCAGTCCTTTCCCCCTTTTTTGAGGATGAGTGGGCTAAGGGTACAATGGTTCCTCAGTGCAAAAGACTAAAAACATACATACAGGTAGTCCACAATGTTTCAGTGGAAGGTATATGAAGGTATATATTGCATTGGTTTCATAGATAAGTTCATATACTCAGAACAGCTCCCCATTTATTTATTTTCCTACTTGTCATTGTTAAATAACTGCCCTTATTTTGGCTCCACTTCAAGTGGGGCGGCAAGACTTTCTTTATGTCTTGCATGCACACAGATGTTGATGCTGCAATCCTACGTACATGCACTTAACTGCTGAACACAATGAGTAAACATGGAAAATTCATATGCCCCATCACTTGTAAGAACCTTTAAAAAATGTCTTCTTCCATTATGTGTTTGCCTGATGGTTTTATGCTGGTTTCATGTTGTTTGAGTTCTATTGTTCCTATTTCAATGGTGTTTTTTCCTTTGATAAACTTATTTGACTGAGTTTTGTTAAGATGCCTTGGAAAGGTTTTACTTGAAAAGGAGGGATACAAATACAGTGAATAAATAAGGGTGATGAAGGTCTACTTCTTATTGGGCAATTGGGTAGAATAGTGCCTGCACATTGTGATCCCCACCCCCACCCCCCGCTTGGTGTATCTCTGTAAGTAAGAAGGCATGAGAGCTGAAAATTCAAGGACAGACTATGGATTATCCCTGGAGGGCCAGGACATCTCAACCCCATGCATGACCGTGTGCCTGATTGGTGGACATTGTGACATCTCATTTTCACAGTGTTTGCCCTCAGCATTTAATATCAGTATGCAGCTCCACCAAGAATGCGACTTTAAGGAAAATGTGTTAAAATGTTTATTCTTGTCTTAAATTGTAGGAACAGTTTATTTTCAGGATAATGGAAACTGTATTTGAGTTTCCCTTACTAGGTTGCTCACTAATCAACATTTTGACACTGGATTGCTTCAGCTTGGGAAACAAATATATAAATAAACGACAACCGAATAGTAGTACGGGTGGCATGGCATTGGAGTGGTTAATATTCTACTTGGAAAAATCCAGGTTCAACATAGAAGGAAGGCATTATAAATCCTGGGATAACTCAGTCGGTAAAGCATAGACCCTTAATATCAGGGTTATGGGTTCAAGCCTCACATAGAATCATAGAATCATAGAGTTGGAAGAGACCACAAGGGCCGTCGCGTCCAACCCCCTGCCAAGCAGGAAACACCATCAGAGCACTCCTGACATATGGTTGTCAAGCCTCTGCTTAAAGACCTCCAAAGAAGGAGACTCCACCACACTCCTTGGCAGCAAATTCCACTGTCGAACAGCTCTTACTGTCAGGAAGTTCTTCCTAATGTTTAGGTGGAATCTTCTTTCTTGTAGTTTGGATCCATTGCTCCATGTCCGCTTCTCTGGAGCAGCAGAAAACAACCTTTCTCCCTCCTCTATGTGACATCCTTTGATATATTTGAACATGGCTATCATATCACCCCTTAACCTCCTCTTCTCCAGGCTAAACATGCCCAGCTCCCTTAGCCGTTCCTCATAAGGCATCGTTTCCAGGCCTTTGACCATTTTGGTTGCCCTCCTCTGGACACGTTCCAGTTTGTCAGTGTCCTTCTTGAACTGTGGTGCCCAGAACTGAACACAGTACTCCAGGTGAGGTCTGACGAGAGCAGAATACAGTGGCAGTATTACTTCCCTTGATCTAGATACTATACTCCTATTGATGCAGCCCAGAATTGCATTGGCTTTTTTAGCTGCCGCGTCACACTGTTGGCTCATGTCAAGTTTGTGGTCAACCAAGACTCCTAGATCCTTTTCACATGTACTGCAATGTACTTCACGTTGGGCAACAGATCCCTGCACTGCAGGGGGTTGGTCCAGGTGACCCCCGTGGTCCCTTCCAACTCTCTGATTCTCTGAACATGTAAGAGCAATACTTGCATTGTTTTCTTTTGCAATTGTTTATGTACAAAAAGTTAGTTGTATGGGTATATGTTACCCAGCAGGCTGGTGAAACAGGCTAATGATGCTTGTGGAGCTGATGCTTGTGAATGTCTCAGGAGACTCCACAGCAACAGTAATGGAGCAGAATTTGGCAGGAGATGCTGAAGTGAAAGTCATGGACTGGAAATTTAAGATTACATCAGCAGGCAGGAGTGAGCCAAATGCAGGTCAATAGTGATTCAAAATCAGAGCCAGAAAGGAAATACTCAGATCCATGGCAGGCCTGTCGTCCTTTCTATTGTTTTATGGACTTCTGTATGCAGTCTTATTTTCCTAGAAAAAGAGGTGCCAGAACTCACCATGAACTCCTCCCTTGTTCTCTAGCAATGGCATCCACCTGAGAGATGCTGGAACTGAGTTCTGGCTCTGTATGTCAGAGCAGTGGCCACAATATTACAAAGTTGGCATTTCTTTCTCTCACTACCTCATTCTTTCTCATAAAGGCAACCTTCTGTGCCTGAACCAGTATACTGATTGCAACCAATTCAAAATGTATGCTTGAGAATAGGGGTAGAATAAAGGGCTTCTAGAAGTAGCAAGTGCAGGGGCATAGTGTGGGGAGGGCAGAGGAGCACAGAATATCGCAAGGTGTGTGTGGGGGGGGGGGGTTAAAGTGGAAATTTGTCCTGCCTTCCTGATGAAAGGGTCTGGCCCTGCTAGACAGTGCAACTTTTAAGCCTATTTCCTGGGACCAGATGTTGGCGCAAAGCCTTTCATCATGACAAGCAGGCTATCTTATAGGATGAGAAGGGTAATCCAGAAATCAAAATTGTGTTATTTTAAAAAGGGAGAGGTGTTCTTATATCTAAAAATGGATTTTGTCCCCACATGTTGCTACTTACTTCCCCGCAGACCTAGGATAGTTTACATGTGTGCAAAGTTGGAGCAGTGGGCATTCTTTCATTTTTAGATGCATACATACTTATTTTTACTTAAATACAGATCAGACTTGTTAATGCATCAAGCTGAACACAGTCCCACAGCCATACATGGAGGACCACCAGGGCCTAGAGAAGCCTGTTGATTTTACTGCCTACCTGGAAGAAGTGCTGTGCTGAACTTTTCCAGCCTTCCCAAGGGATGCTAGGGCAAATATCACTTCAAAAAGGTCAGGTATTGGGCAATGTATCTCAATGAAAAATTAAAGTTTGAAGGACCCTGTGGGGTAAAGGTAAAGGTACCCCTGCCCGTACGGGCCAGTCGTGTCTGACTCTAGGGTTGTGCGCCCATCTCACTTAAGAGGCCAAGGGCCAGCGCTGCCCGGAGACACTTCCGGGTTACCTGGCCAGCGTGACGAAGCTGCTCTGGTGAGCCGGCACCAGCGCAGCACATGGAAACGCCGTTTACCTTCCCGCTATAAAGTGGTGCCTATTTATCTACTTGCACTTAAGGGTGCTTTC